GGGGACGCGGCGGCGGCCCGGGGGGGATGGGGGACAGGTGGAGGGGACGGCCCAAACGGACATCATCCACGGTCCCTCGGGAGTGGAGGGACTCGTGAGCCGAAGCCCAGAAATCCGGGGGTGGGTAAGGCATCGCGTCCCCTCCAATTCCCGTAAGCACCCCTTGCTCCATCCTGCGCCCAATTACCTCAGCTAGCCCCTCTCCCCACTCCTTACACTCCAAACTCAGCTGGGACAGACCTGCCGCCGCCGCCGCTGCCCCCACGTGAGTCCTGGGCCGCCGGAGGTAGGGAAGGGCTGGGGTCCCAGTGTCAGGTGGGGGCTGTGCGGAGTTTGAAGGCGCTCCTTCACGCGCGTGCCAGCGGGGGAGTCCCTGGAGCAAAGGAATGAGTTCCCTTCTCTTCCTACCCCAGGACCGTGGTTCCCGGATATCCCTCCGTCCACGAACCCGGCAAAGCCTAGGAATCCGTGCCCCCTTGCTCCCCGCCACCCACAAGTCCCCTCCTTTCCCGAGCTGCGCACCCCCCGCCCGCATTGGAGCGAAGCGCCCGCCAGCTGGGGGTGTGCCAGAGTGCTTGCTTTCAAGTCACCTCTAAAAATATCTTTCCCCCCACCCCACCGGCAGCTGCCACCTCCCTGCCCCTGCCCAGTGAGCATCCCCTTCCAGCTTGTCTGCCCAGGCAGGGAGAGTCCAGAGGTGCCTCTTAGTCCCAGATCCCTCTGGCACCGGGGTTCCAGGTCATCACTGCCAGCTAGTCAGGACAGCAAGTTCACAGCCCAAGGAAGTCTCCAGGGCAATAGGCGAAGCTCCAGCTGCAACTACCTCAAGAAGTGCCTAGAGACCCCTGATTCTAATCCTGGTTCTGATGCTGTGTGACCCCCAGGATGTAGCTTGACCTCTCTGGTGCTCTGTCTTTCCTATTTGCTGCTTGGGGGTGGTGAGCAAGGAAGGTGGTGAAGTTGGGGTGGCTGCCTGGAGGAGGGAGGAAATAAAAGCTTAGTTTTGGATCTGATTTCTAGTAATTGATATGAGGAGCCTTGTTCTTGGGCAGAGAGGCCTTGTTACTGTGGTATTTCTTTTTCTTTCTTTCTCTCTTTTTTCTTTTTGGCGGCTGGCTGGTATGGGGATCCAAACTGGGGGATCCGAACCCTTGACTTTGGTGTTATAACACCACATACTGTGGTATATCTGGGCCCTCACCCCCATCCTCATCCTGCACTTTTCCTGTGGAAAACTATCCGATGAAACTTTCCTGGAGGCTCCATCCACCTATTAAGAGGGTAATTTCAAACTTAGGGCCTATGCTAATGAGGGGCCTGTTTCTCCTCCCCCATCTCTAGGACCCTCCCACCCACTCCCACAGATTTAATCTAAGAACATTTGTATAAAAGGCGGGAGGAAGCAGGCAAGAATCTGATCTAGTGTGGAGCCAGGGAGGCAGGCACTGCTTTTAGATGGGACTAGAATATGGACTCCCTGCCACCCCCCAGAAACCGTTCTCTTCTCTCCCTTCTCTAGCCTGTGGGAGAAGCTGAGATCCTGCCCCCATTTTCTCTGAGGGACTCTTTGGTGACCACGAAGGGAGTTGATCACTCAGGACAAAGCTGCCAGAGGTAAGGAACCGTTTGGATGGTTATGGGAGGCAGATTTTGACTGGGGACAGGGTCCCTCTGACTACTGTGGGGTGGTGGTCGGGTGTCACAGCATGGCCTTCTCGGTTTCCAGGGGAAGAACCCCAGGATGCCTGGCTTTCTGCTTTGGAAACTGAAAGAAACAAGGGCAATTCACCAAACAATAAGTGTTTAACTGATTTCCCTAAATACTATTATGAGATAAAAAAAAATGTAACTATGTATTTTGCTATGAGAAATGAGAAGTTTTGAGCATAATTAAAGATCAGTAGAATATTCCCCCCCCCCCCCCCCCCCCATCACTCAGGACAAAGCTGCCAGAGGTAAGGAACCGTTTGGATGGTTATGGGAGGCAGATTTTGACTGGGGACAGGGTCCCTCTGACTACTGTGGGGTGGTGGTCGGGTGTCACAGCATGGCCTTCTCGGTTTCCAGGGGAAGAACCCCAGGATGCCTGGCTTTCTGCTTTGGAAACTGAAAGAAACAAGGGCAATTCACCAAACAATAAGTGTTTAACTGATTTCCCTAAATACTATTATGAGATAAAAAAAAATGTAACTATGTATTTTGCTATGAGAAATGAGAAGTTTTGAGCATAATTAAAGATCAGTAGAATATTCCCCCCCCCCCGCCCCCAAGAAAAAGGACAGAAAGAAAAAGAAATAAGGGCAAAGTAATGAGACCTTTTTCTATGGGATGAAAGTTGGTCTCTAGAGGGGTGACTGCTGGTGACCCCTTTGTGTCTTTGTATCTGCCCCTTGCTTCTTCCCGCGCCTGACACGTGCCTGTCCATGTTTGCTTTTATAATGGGAGTGGCATCCCCTGACCTTTCTCCTCTGACTCGCCAGCTCCGGTCAGACATGTGATACCAGCCAGAATTCTGGAAGGCTGAAACTCCCTGTGGACAGGGACTGGGGACAGCCCTCCCACCCACCTGCCAATACATGCCATTCCCTTGTCCCCTATACCACCCCCCCACTTTCTCCTTGACCTGTGTCTCCTCTCCCAACCCCCTCCTTCTCTTTGCCCACTGCCCCATCCAGCTTTGGCCACCTCTCTCAATTCCTAGATTAAAAGTTCTTAGGGAAAAACTGAGACCCATATCCTATCCCTACTGGAGAAGGTGGGAGGAGGTACCTCCAGATGGGGGGTGGTAGAGCCTGTACCCCACTCCTGGAGTGTCCCAGTCCCTCTCTGGGGCAACTGCTTGTCTCTGCTGCCCTGGATGGTCAGGGGAGACTGTCACCTTGACAAAGTCAGAGGGTTTAAAGTGTCAACCATAGTCACCACCAGAGGGCGGTAGCCAGCCAGGCCTTTGCTCTGGTCTAGTCTCCTGGCTCTCAGTATCTTTCCAGTTCTGTCCCTACTGCCTCTGGTCTCTCATTCAACCTCGGGCTGGAGGGGTAGGGGAGTAGGGAGGCAATGGAAGCTGTCAGTGGTGTCCTTTGTAGGCCAAATCCAGTCCCCAAAGCCATACACCCAAGTCCAGCAGAGATTTCATCCTGACTTTCCTGTCTGACTGCCAGACCCTTGAAAGCACTGGAGAGGCCGGTCCCAGACCACCCTTGGGACCCAGAGGTTCCAGCCCCCTAGCTGTGGTACAATAAGCCCTGGTCATCTGCTCCCTCCATTTTGAGGGCAGGACGGCAAAGCTGTGGAAGTGTTCATGAACCTGGCTCTGCCCTCGTAAACAGCATGGCGAGATTGTTAACATTCTGATCCCTTCTCATCTGCTGATGTGTGGGGCTGATGAGTAGTGACAGAATGTGAGTGAAGGTGATCTGTAAACTACGATGCACCATACACATGTAAGGGGCAGTGGTCATACTAGAGAAAAAAAAAAGCACTGGTCTCAGACTCTAAGATCCAGTTTTGAGATCTGTCCCTGCCACTTACAGTGGGTGACCTTTGGCCAAATCAGTTAACCTCTCTGGGTCTCCCATAATATTATCTGTAACCTCCCCAGTGTCAGGGGATTATGAAGAGGATGCTTCACAAGGTGTGTTGTGGTCTGTAAGTGCCGTGCCTATTTGAGTGGTTCTTTTCACTGCAACCCTGGGAGTGGCTCCTGGGGCTCAGCAGGAGGGATAGGGCCAGGTGGGCATTAAGTGGTGGAAGCAAAGCCAGCTGACCAGGCACCCTGAAACAGACTTTTGTGGTTGTCAGGAGCTCTTGATGACGGCTGGAGACCAACAGTCCCTACAGGTGGTGCCCAGGGTGATACATTGACCATGAACGGGTGTTTTCCAGTCGCCGGCCTCCGATGCCTGTCTAGGGTAAGTGGGCGCCTCCAAGGGTCTCTTAGGCTGAGGCCTAAGACTCTATTTTTCCATCACGGGGTGGGAGGAGCCCTATCTAGCCCCTTTTATGCTTGCCCTCTCCCCCACTGGACTTCAAAATCCCAGGAGACTTCCATCCCAGGTGTGGGGTCCTGATACTTTACACCCTCCACTCCAGGGATCCTGAACCACTGAGATGCCCAACAGGATGTTGGTGAGACCAGAGTGTGATTCTAGGGATGAGGATGAAGGGACAGTTCTGTTAGGCAGGCAGATAGCCAGGTTTAAGTCTCAGCTCTGAAATAAAGAGCTTGAACTTCTGTTGCACAAAGTGTGTGTGCCAGGCCATGAACATCCCAGGAAGGTAAAAGGGGGTTAGGAAGAAACCAGAAAGAGGAATGGTTCCATCTCGACTGACTGGGGTGGGAGGCTGGGAGGAAGAAAGGCAGTGTGGTGGGTATTCTGAAGCTGTACGTGATCCGCTCTCTTTGCCCCCTCGCACACAGCTGCTGGAGGGCAAAGGTGGCAGGGACAGGCTGCAGAAGGCTCCTGCTGTCTGCATTTGCTTGCCTTTCTTTGTGTCCTGACACTTCCCCTGTTGTCTCCCATCCTGTCCCCCACCCTCCCCTCAACATGATTCTGGTCCCAGGTCTCCACTTTCTGGAGCTCTCCCACCCCCACTCAGTCTTCCCATCACCCGCCCTCCCTAGCATGACTTCCTCCCAGCCCCCCCACCCCCGCCATGTCTCCACTAACTGCTCCCTCCTTCTCTGCCTTTTCAGCCACTGCTGCTCTCTTTCCTCTCCCTTACCTGTCTCCCAGGTATGTCGTGGCCTGGTTCGGGAGGCTCCTACCTCCCCAAGCCCCACTGGTTCTCCTGCTGCCCGCTTGCTTCGGACTCTGGCAGAAACCCCACCCGCTGACACGTTCCTCCCAGGGAACTGGCAAGTGATTAGTGATGAGCTGTCAGCACAGGGCCCTAAACATTTCTGGAGAAGCTGTGTCCCATCTCTGGATCCCTGCCCAGTGCCATCTGGCTGCAAGCAACTCCCAGAGAGCCTTCCTGGGTCTTGTGTGGTGGATCCACCTATCTGGTTTTTCCAAGGGCTACAAGGCAGTTCTGTGGCCAGTGCAGAAGCCCAGACACTAAACTCTCCAGGCCTGGCATTTAGCTTCCATCCAGGCTTGAGGACCTGGCTCTCATTGTCCACACGCCTTGGATGATGCCAAAGTCTCCCTGGAGCCTGGCTCCTCACTGCCCACCAGAGTCCCGCAAGCCATCTCCCCGCATGGTGCACCATGGTGCAAAAGGAGAATAAGGGGGATGCTCCACATGGGCAAATGGGTGCTTTCACTTGACCGTGTTAGGAAGGAGAAAGCAGAGGGTTCCCTCCACCCTCTCTTTGTCCCCACCAACAACAGGGAGCCATTGGAAGTCTCCAAAACATTCTAGTCCAGAAACCTCCCCAAATAGGTGATCCCTTGGAAGCTGCTTTTCTCTTTTTTTAAGCTGACCCTTGTTAAACTCCAACGGCCCCGAAGGAGAGTAGCAGAAACAGGTGCCGAGGAAGCCCTTCTGGGTTCAGGAGTAGGGTGGTCCTCTGGGCATAAACCCCAGTGCAGTAAACAGAGAGGTACCCAGGGGGTGGGCAGGGAAGGTTGGGGGTGGCGGCGGGGGCGTCGAGTACTCCTCCAGCTTAACCAGCCTTGGGTCCTCCTCAGGTCTCGGATGTGCCAGCGCCTCTGGCCGCGGCTCGCTAACCAGCCTCTCCCCGGCCGGGTCCCGCCAGTGCAGTAAACAGAGAGGTACCCAGGGGGTGGGCAGGGAAGGTTGGGGGTGGCGGCGGGGGCGTCGAGTACTCCTCCAGCTTAACCAGCCTTGGGTCCTCCTCAGGTCTCGGATGTGCCAGCGCCTCTGGCCGCGGCTCGCTAACCAGCCTCTCCCCGGCCGGTTCCCGCCGCGCCGCCTCTCGCTTGCCCCTTCCCCCTCCTGCTCCTCTCCCCCCTGCTCCCAGGACGGCAGGATGGCTGCGCAGGGCGCGCCGCGCTTCCTCCTGACCTTCGACTTCGACGAGACGATCGTGGACGAAAACAGCGACGACTCGATCGTGCGCGCCGCGCCGGGCCAGCGGCTGCCCGAGAGCCTGCGTGCCACCTACCGCGAGGGCTTCTACAACGAGTACATGCAGCGGGTCTTCAAGTACCTGGGCGAGCAGGGCGTGCGGCCGCGGGACCTGCGCGCCATCTACGAGGCCATCCCCCTGTCGCCGGGCATGGGCGACCTGCTGCAGTTTGTGGCCAAGCAGGGCTCCTGTTTCGAGGTTATTCTCGTCTCGGATGCCAACACCTTCGGCGTGGAGAGCGCGCTGCGCGCCGCTGGCCACCACGGCCTGTTCCGCCGCATCTTCAGCAACCCTGCGGGGCCCGACGCGCGGGGACTGCTGGCGCTGCGGCCCTTCCACACACACAGCTGCGCGCGCTGTCCCGCCAACATGTGCAAGCACAAGGTGCTCAGCGACTACCTGCGCGAGCGGGCCCACGACGGCGTGCACTTCGAGCGCCTCTTCTACGTGGGCGACGGCGCCAACGACTTCTGCCCCATGGGGCTGCTGGCGGGCGGCGACGTGGCCTTCCCGCGCCGCGGCTACCCCATGCACCGCCTCATACAGGAGGCGCAGAAGGCCGAGCCCAGCTCCTTCCGCGCCAGCGTGGTGCCCTGGGAAACGGGCGCCGACGTGCGCCTCCATCTGCAACAGGTGCTGAAGACGTGCTGAGGACGGCCGCCGGCAGGGGGCGCCCGGGAGCCCGCGCGGGAAAGGGGGTGGGGAAGGGGGAATCGCGAAAGACAAACCTAGTTTTACTACTCCCTTATCCCTTTCGCTTTGCTATGGCCCTCCGGGAATTTCTGGAATTTCGTCCATTTGGGGGCTGGGGGACGGGGTTTGGAGCCATCCCCATCTATGCAGTTAACCCAGCTCGGCTGCCTCCTCCAGTTTCTGCAAACAGTTAAATTCTGGGTCTGGCCCAAAGGAGGGGTAGGGGTGGGGGTATGCATACCTTGGAAGGCAGCAGTGTTTCCAAAAACCTTGTCCTCCGAACTGGGAGAAAGGGGCTCCCTGGCAGGTGAGAGAAGGAACATCTCCCACTGCTTTAGCCATTGCCTGGGGCCGCGTAACCTCCCCTCCCCCAGTCTTCTGTCAAGGGGACCCAAGATGACGAAATCCTCATGGCCACACCGGACTCCCTGCGGAGACAGATGCTACTCTCCGCCAGCGGCCCCAGGCCGCCTCGATCTTGCTCCCCCCGCCGCGACCCCACACTATTTCTGTACTCGCTACACCTTTTTGCCTCCCTCCCCTCGCCCACCCCTCCAGCACCCCCAGTGGAAAAAAAGCCGGAGGGAACAGTCGCCTCCTGGTGGTGGAAAGAGGTAACACAGTCCGGCTCGGGTCCAGCCAGCCAGGGACCTCGCAGCATGCGACGGTGTCTCCTCGCACCCCAGCCTCGTCTATGCAGCAAGAGACCAGGGACTTCACCAAAGTCGCCCCCGTGGGCTGGGCCTTCCGCGCCCCCCTCCTTCCGTATGGAACAGAAAGCCATGATGTTTAAGTAGAGCCAGCGAAACCCAAGCCCTTTCCCGCTCTGGTGTTTTAGAACTATAAAGGAGGTGAAGGGGAGAGGTGCCTGAGATCTCTCGCGCCGCAGTCTGAGGGGTGAGAATGAGGAGCTCACAGAGCCCCACTTAAGTGAGGGAGGGCTTTTGGGCAAGTGCCCAGCTTAAGGAACCAAAACTGAACACCTAACACACACAGCAAGCAATAGGCAAAAGGGTAAGTTGCAGTCAATGGCTGCAGAGGAGCATCTGGGGTCCAGTGTAGGCAGCACTTAATGAGGACTGAAAAGATGGGAGAGATACTGCTGCTTGGGGACTATAATTAGCAGAAGGCTTTAAACCGGGATGCTTTCAATCCCTCTTCTCTCTGGCCTCGTAGCCCTGCAGGAGGTCATCAGAGTTTTATTCAAGGTTGGCATTTGCAGCTGGAGACCCCACCCTGTGTGGAGTAGGAGTCCTCTGTGGACAAACTCCCTGTTGTCCTCCAGTTCTTTGCCATCTGCTGCAGCAGGCCTCTGGGTACCTCTTCTCTCTTCCCAAAGCCCCTTCTCACCACAGTAGCGGGAAGGGACAGAACACAGCTCACAGCCCAAGAGGTGGGCAGACCTGTTCCCGCTGTGAGTGTGGAGCTGGCTTTGGCCTGGGGCTCAAGAGGCCCGCTCAGGGTACGGCCTGGGGGAGCCACCCGGAGAGCCCCAGGGTGTCAGTAGCTGGGCTCCGCATAGTTCCCAGGGAAGAATCCAGTCCCATCCGAGCTGACGCCCTCGCACCAGCCGTCGGAATAGCGGCGGGTGACGCAGATGATGGTGCCCTCAGAGAAGGAGAGCTCGTTGTCCTTCTGGCGGGTGTATGGGTACAGTGTCACCACTGCGGGTTGGGAGGAGAGGGTGCGGTGAGATGTGCTTCCTATCCCCCCTCCGCCCCCCATGAGGATGCAGGGGCTCAAATGCTGGACTCTAGGGGTCATCAAGGACAGAGAGCTGCAGGGAGGGGGGCGCTTCTTCTAAGCCTCAGGACCCCTCCCCTGCTCAGTTAATATTCAGTACCAATAGCTGCTCTCTTCCCAGTGTGCTTCTGAACTCAGTTCGTCAGAAAATTGTGTGTGTGTGTGGAGGGGGGTGCACAGGCTCACACCTTTACAGAGAGAGGGGGAATGCCTCTGGGGTAGAAGAGTGGGGGTTAGGGCAACCAATAGAGGCCAGAACCCGGGACGCGGGGCCTGGTGCCCTTCAGGCCCAGGAGTCGGGTACCTTTTTCCAAGTATGCAGCGGGGACCCAGCTGGGCTCTTCCGGCCCAAAGCCTGGCGGGGGCGGAGGCGGCAGCTCCAAATCATCCACATCCAGGGGCGGAGGAGGGGGCAGGTCCAGGGGCGGGGGCAGCTCTGCAGCTGGGAGGGAAAGCAGAAGGGCTGCAAGTGGCGCGGGGAGCCCGCCTCAGGAAACTTTGCTGCTGGAGAGCAGGTCCCATAATCTACCCATTTTATGTCATCTTCCTCCAGTCCTCACCCCTCCTGGCTCTCCCACAATGCACGTAGTAGGCGCTCAGTAAGCCCCGAAAGGGAACACTATAGGGTAGTCAGACTGCCCCTGACCTTGAACAAGTCACTTAACCGCTCAGCCTTAGCTGCTTCATATGTTAAATGAGAAAATTGCAAAGCAGCTTCGGGCGCTAAGCTGTGTTAGTTCACTCCCTCCGCCTCCTTGTCCTCCCGTTCCCCCCACCTAGGACGAAGTGCTCCCTGAGGCGGGCGGGGTCAGATCCGAGACGGGTGGGGTGGGCGGAGCTCCTTACCCTGCGGGGGCGGGGACAGATCCTCCAGTGGCGGCAGCAGCTGGAAGACCTCGGCGGCCACTGGCGGAGGAGGTGGGGCCGTGGAGCTGGGGAGAGGTGGGGGCGGGGGTGCTGCCTGCCCCTTGGGCGCGGCGACCCCGCCGACACCTTCGGCGCTGCTGAAGACCGGGGACAGCGGGGCTGGACTCGGTTGGCGGACACCTCCAGCTCAGCATCCCCCACGGCCCCGCCCTCTGACTCTGCCCCTGTGATCCCGAGTCCTCCCAACCGCAGTCGTCACTGTGACAAATCTACCTCCCACCGCCCGCCTTCCCACTTGGACTTGTAGGGCTCACCCGGCCGAGACCAGGGAAGAGGCGGACGAGGCGGCGGAGAGTTTGCCGTCGGGCACCACCGGGAGATGCACCGGCTCCGGGATCCGGGGTGGTCTCCTGGGGGGGAGGGCGGCGTACCGGGAGGACGGAGGAAGGCTTCTGGCCCCCCGGGGATGAGGGGCAGGGAGCAGCCGTAGGAGGGGGAGGTGTGGCGCCAGGACTCAGGCCGCCGTCGTAAGCATCAGGGCTCCAGGCGTCGGGGGCGGGGGGCGGGGTGAGTTTCAGGATCGCGCCGGGCAGGGCCAGGCTGATTTGGATCGCGGTGACACCTTACCCCAGGGTGGCGGTGGAGGGTGTGGCAGGCGCCTTGACGCTCTTTCGAGACAGGGTCCCGGTCCGTGACAGTTGCGTGCTCATGTCCTACGAAGGAGGGGGGCCGGGGCTGACATCTGGGGTGGGGCGACCGTCTCCACCCTTATCCCAGAAAGGAAATGGGGAAGGGAGAGCACGGGGACAGTTCCCACTTCCACTTCCCAGCCCCCTCGCCCGCCCTTCCCCCACACCCACCCCCTTCTTGTCCGTGCCTGCCCAAGGCGCCGACAGAAACCTCCGAGCGCAGACACGGTCTGGCGGCCACTTCCTCTGCGTAGCCACAGCGGGCTGAGGGAGCCCATCATCCCCTCTCCTCCCCCAAACCAATCTCAGAGCCCAGAGAGCTGGAGCCCACCGGCGTGGTGGTCCTTAACTTTGACCAGACCCCAACCCCAGCATGGACTGAGGAGGGGGCGGGGAAAGGAGAGGGCACGTCACAGGCAGAAGTGCCCCACCTGTCACTTTCACAGACCTGTAGGACTTTGAGGAGTTCAGGGAGAAAGGAGTGGGACCCTGGACCTACGGGGGAGTGTACAAGCCCGTGTGCAAGAGGGCACCTCTGTTACTGATGGGGTTTCCCCAAGTGTGGGCACATGGGAAATGATGGTCTCTGTTCGTTCGCTACACTTCGCTAGGGACAAGACAAAAGGGACTTGAGCTGAAGCATAAAGAATTTAAGTTGGAACAGGAAGAACTTGCTGGTGGGGAGGCCTGGTGACTGAAGGAGGGAGTGTAGTTTCCCTTTTTTGGGGGGCTGATATGTTAAGAATATGAAGGGGGTCTTTTAGATACAGGAGAGTCTAATCTAATCTGGAATGTTGAAGTGTGGAGAGGAATTGACAAAACGGGGCGTGATTGTGCACACCCACCCCTGCGTGCTTTCTACACCTTGCAGAAGGAGATGGGCCAAGAAGCAAATGCTGGAGTCATGCTCCCCTCTCTTCACCATGTCTCCTTTGTGTGGCCGCATCCCCACCCCTCCCCACCAACAGCAGCTCTGGGGTGACTGCTCAGTGCGGTGACCTCAAACCCCCAGACAGAGGAAGTTGCTGTTCTCATGTGGCTGGGGAGCCATTCTCATGCACACCCTGATGCCCTCCCTTCCCCCTCTTCCCTTTCACATGCACACCCAGAACCCACAGGGTGGTGGTGGGGGTGCTCAGGATCTCACATTCAGCAGATCATCTGAGTACAGGGTAAAGGCCAGTCATGAAGGGAGGGGATCATGGAAGGATTACAAGATTTGAGGAAGAGGGGGGCTTAGGGTGATGGCTTGAGGGAGTAGAGAAAGAAAGGGGTGGCTTGTTGGGACAAGGGGTGAGGAAAAGAACTGGAAACCTGGAGAGAAGGGAGCCCTGAGGCAGGAGAGGGTGGATGTGGGAAGAGTAGGGGTCCTTCTCTACCTTGATCCCATGGCCAACATCATCCAGGCAGCCAAAGTTGAGGGGTCTCCTGTAGTATGGGGTGAGAGGGGGCAGGCTCTTGGGGGCGATGACCTTCTGGCTGGGGAGCAGCCGCTGGACAGTGGCTAAGGTGCCGATCTCCCTTCGGGCCACCTTCTCCATGTGCATGTTCACCATCTGCATGACAGGGTTTGAGGTGACAGTGGAGGGCGGTCTGTGTCCAGTGCCCTTCCCCCTGAGGGAGGAAGAGGATAGAGATTTGGGGGTAGGGATGGGGACCATGGGAGGCAGTGAGGTCCAGAGAAAGAGTGAGTTTTACACAGCAGTTGAGAAAAGAGTAGCGGGAGAAGGATAGAGCCACTTTGGAGCAACTTCCTGGTGGAAAAGAATGAGGGTTATTATTAGCTGAGCAGGATCAAGAGGAAAAGAGAAAACGGAACATCCCTGGGGATGCTGGGAAGAGACTGAAGCCCCGGGCTGCCTCCAGAGCAGAGTGGGATAATGTGGAGGGGACTGGATCAGCTCTCCCTCTGGGGGGATAAATAAGTGAATTAACTTCCTCCTGGAATGTTCCATGGAGAAACCTGCAGCACTGAGAGGGTGGGAACTCTGGTCTGCTGGGGTGACAGGAAAAGACACACCCCGTGTGCTGGACACGTGGGTGATGCGCAGGCCAGGCCCAATGTGTAGCTGGATCTGTGCACATGCTCCATGGGGCAATTGCTCGGTCAAGGATCCAGGAAGGAAGGAGGAGGGTGTGTATGCTAGAAGAGTTGGGGGTGGGGGGATGCTGTATGGTGGTAGCAGTGCTTCCAGGGCTGAAGATGACCTTGCCAAGCAAGCACCCGGGGGTCTAGGACATTTATTAAGTCACTGCCTATATTCAGATGCAAACAGGGTCCATTTTCTCCTTTCCTGAACTACATAGCCACCACACTACTTTCTAATGTCCAGGGTCACGTAGGGGCAGGAAGAGGATGATCCCTTTCCTCTCCCTCATAAGGATCACAGCTGACACTGCTATAACTAAGACAGGTCAACAAGAGGAAAGCATAACAAATTTGTCGGATTATAGTTTTACCTGACATGGGAGCCGACAGATTGAAGACCCAAAGATACAGGGGAAACTGTCCATTTTTATGCTTAGGTTCTATGAAGAATTGACAGCTGGGTAGAACTGTAT